TTCTAACATAAATTTCAAATACGTTGCAAATTAAATAAATAAATCTATAAAATTGCAAACTAAATAACAGATATAATTTCTACCCGAGGCCTGTGTAAATATAGTTTTTATAAGACAAATTCGCCCCCTCACCGTGGTGCTAGAGGTTTAGTTCGAGCACCTGTCTCCCAGGATACAACGGTAACCAGCAAAATCAAAGCACCGCGATTCTACTCAGGCGAACTGGGCGAGTGTTCAAACAATATCACCTTACTGACTGGAATAAGACGGAACAAAACAGAAAATAGTCTAGAAATTTGCAGACGAAAATTTCAGTGTTTGAACTGCTGGAAATTGAGTGAATTATATAGACTGAATTTGACCCTTAGTTTTCTGCATTAACCACTGCAGTTTTTTGAGTTACACTTTGGTTTCGACTATTGAAGTTTTAGGAGTTTCAGATACTCAAAAGTCATTTGGAAAAATCACAAAAAAATTGCAAAATGCGGACTATCCAAACTGGTCAGTTTTTGCTCCGTTCGGTCGGACATTCGTGTGCGCAGGTTGCGCCCGCACTCAACTTCAAGGTCCGAAAGCTATTTCTGTCTGTGATTTGCATCTCCCCTGCGCGAGCACGTAAAGAGAGCCTCTATACTACACATGATCACACCATTCCAATGCATAGTCATATTTAAAGTGGCTTTGATTTTCATATTTTTCCTATGTGGGACAAGGTTTTCCCACCAACATAGACCATTTCCAATGGTTTAATTTAGACTCCAATTTCTCATTCACCCGAACTTCATTTTTGACAAATAAATATATGGCTTCGATGTTCTCGCGGAGGAGGACACATATCAACTTTGATATTCCAAATTAGACCAACGAATCCCACTAAAAATTGTGCCAAAAGTGAGTCAATTCACTTATTTTTCCAACAGCATCAACATAAAACAACATAACTATACTTTAGAATTCACACTATAACGTCCTGAAAATTTGCAGAATTTTTATTTTTTTATAGAATAAAATAATATGTTTATTTTAGTTAGTCCATAAAGTTCCTCGAAAGTCGTAACATTTGTAATTTATTTTAAATCCAAGAATGAAAAAGAAAATTGAGTTGATATAACTTATCGAGGGACTAATGTGAAATAAGTTAAAAGTTATTCTTAGGATTTTTAAATTTATTTGGATAAGGCCTTCTATAATAGTCCTTACATTCCATAAAGATAGACTTCCTTTTTTTTTTTTTTTTGGTTTATCCCAATTTATAAGCAGCATTCCTTGTTGAGAGTATCGTTAATTTCTTAATTTTATATATGCCCTTATTATCAATAAATGTGAACTATTTATATTTAAACTACTATTTAATGTAGATATTTATTAAAAAAATGTAAGCAAAATTTATATCTTTATGGGCCTGATGGAGCATTTTTTTTTTAATCTTGAGAAAATCATCGTTTGTAAAATTTCTTTTGTTGTTTCTTATTATTATTATTATTTTATTTTATTTTTTTAAAAAATGGGGTTGAATTTTTTGTAACCACATTGGGCACAAAAAGATTCAAGTTCTTTTCGGCCTTCATGAAGTTCACTCTTCTTTTAACTTTGGGCTTAAGATCTGTACAAAAAAATAATGTTTTGTATTTGATAAAATAAATTAATTCTCCAACATTATAATAAGGAATTTGCCTTGATATCAATTACAAATGGAATTACTAACTTTTTTTGTGAAAAGTTTGGAAGACCAACAATTAAAATTTTGGCGACTTGAGAATCGAAATGGTTCACAGCTTTTATAGAAGCTAGCAGTTTTGGAAATTTCTAGAAGTCTATTGAGAATTTGATGCTCAGTGTATACTCGTCAATGTTCTAATCCTATATACCGTTGTCAGAATATTGTTGGGATGGAACGAGGTTGTATAGCACGATATAAAGTATTGATCGTAATAACAAGATAAACACAAAGACAAAAATTTAATTGTGTAGTAGAATTGGAGATTGTTCAACTATAGTGGAGAAAAAATTACAACAACTGTGTTTCTCTTAATTATTCTAACTTCTATAATAAATCAATTTATAAAGAAGAGTCAACTTAATATAAGGGACATCAAAATCCTAGCAATATTTTTAAAGATGAAAATAATATTAAAAACGAGTAGTATAAAGGAAACAATATTTTTCAAAAAAATCCAACCCAATTTTGGTCACAAACCCAACAATCACCACGTTGACACAAATTGCACTGCAACGAACAAAGCTCCAAAAACTTTCCACTTGGAGAAAAAATCTGACTACGAGGAATGAACTGAGCTCTTCAACAAAAACCAAACTAACTTCTCCAATAAATAAAAAATTCTCCACATCTTCCACGATATCCAACTAGGATAAATGAATTTAAGCACAGCTTCACAGAATTACCTCGGATTCAACCAAAAATTACAAATGATTTAAAATTTACCAAACAGGGCCAAAACACACACTAAAAGAAAATCAACACCAAATGGTTTTGTAGAACCCCTTAATAGACTAAACACTTTCAAATACCTTTAAAGTATATGCAACAAAATCAGCATCTCCGTACTTATCTTCATTGGGTCTGTCCCTAGCCATTGAATACGATGGCATCATAGGTGATAGCAAAGAGACATTAAATATATCCTTCGAACTAGATTGAGCTGTATTCTTCAACATGGACCCCAAACTAGATCCCAAAGTACTGTACCAAATTGAATCCCAACGTATTTTACCAAATTGAATATCCACACGACACTAAACCTTTGCTAATTTTTATTCACGAACTCCACACAGCCTTGCAAGAATGTATAACTAGGATTTTCTTCGTCACTCCAATACAACACAACACCTTTGCAAACCTCCACCAAAGAACTTATACACTTTTAAATCAAGAATACTTAACGAGATGAAATTTTCTTCAAATTTGAGACATCTCGAACTTGATCAAGTATTCTAACGATCCCATCCACCAATTTAATTCTAACTCTATCAATATCAGCGACATTGACTTCATTTGTAGTTTTTGATTGCTTTCCTTCTGATTTGCAGCCAAATTTCCTTTATTCTACAGTTTGTTGCAATCCTTCTTCATGTGATATTTCTTCTTGCAATAAAATCAGACTTAATTTCTTAAATTAGATTTCGACCCGCCTCTTCTATGACAACCATGAGCAACAAGGTATTCTCCATCTCTAGCTTTAGATTTAACCAAATGCTTTATCTTCTCTCTTGAAAACAAAATATCATATGTATCTTGAATGGTAAGATATCACAACTATATTAAATCGTGTCTCTAAATGAATTAAATGAAGCGGATAATGAAGACAAAAGAATTAAGAGCAAATCTTCTTCATCTTACTTTACTTTTAAAGTCTCCAAATCAGCAGCGATCTCCATAAAAATGGCCAAGTGATCTTTCAATGATCTGCCTTTTGTCAAGGACAAGAACCTCGAACAAACCAAAAAGCCAAATCTTTGATACTACTTATTGGGGGACAGAATGAGGTTATACGACCGATATGAAATATTGACCATAACTACAAGATGAGCACAAAGACAAGAATTTTTTGTGGGATGAATTGAAAATTTTATTTAACTATAGTGGAGAAAAATTTAAAACAATTTTGTTTCTCATAATTATTTTAACTTATATAATAAATCAACTTGTAAAGAAGAGACAACTATTTATAGGGAAATTGTATCAAAACTCTAATAATTTCTTAAAGATGGAAATAGTATAAAAAATAGGTGGAACAAAGGAAACAATATATTCCTAAAAAAATCCAACCGAATTTAGATTACAAACCTAACAAATATACTATTTTAGGAAGAAAGGGACTTCCTTTATTTTGAAGACCATGAAAAGAGGGTCGATGATAGCTTTTGTGGAGTTCTGAAATATTTAATTTTATTGATTGATGTTTCCTCGAACTCTTGTTGAAGTTTATAAATATCATCGGACTTATTAAATTAAAATAAACATTATAAGGAGAACTGTTTTCTTTTAAAGAAGATTCCAAAATTTAAGTTACCGATTTGATCCATAAGAATACAAGACTGATTTTGAGAAATCTTTAAGTAGCCGGAGGGTCACAATATATATCTTGAATGATTGGTATCAATATCTACTTATAGATGTGTAATTTGTCTATTGATACCTCTACAAAGCCTGAATTTTTAGATATTTAGTAAGTGAAATTATCGAGTTCAAATTTAATTATGGTATAATAATTATATTTTTAATATTTACAATAATACTACATTAATTCAATTAATTAATGACATGTTCAATTCTAACTCTTACAAAATAATGTAATCCAATCCCATGGTATCTTTTGTGCCTCTCTTCGAGTTATTCATAAATTTGACTGTTAAAAATCACAAAAAGAGAAAAGTAGCGAGTTCACAATAATGAAAAGAGGCGTAGCTAGATTGATTTTTTCAGAATGATAGATACGGTAATATGATACTATGAGAGATTTGGGAAAATTTAGATTAATTTGATTAAATTGGCCTTGGACTAAAAATTAGAAATAGAGAAGTCGTGTTTTGAATTTGGGCTAAATTAATTTATTGGCAAATGAAGTAGGAAAATGATAACTTTAGGTTCAATTAAATAGTTGACCAACTTATTAGGAAAGAATTTAAAATAATTTGGCTTATTTAATGTAAGAAAACAAAAAAAAAATGAAAAAATTTGGCTCTTGATCTTGAATCGAGGATTGAATCAAAGCTGTTGATTCTCAATTCAGATATTCATTCGATTATTTAATTTAAGAAAAATCACTCGACTCGATTTTAAAGTTTTGTCCAGTCCTAATAAATGTAAAATTCTTTATGTAATCCAAAATTAGGAACTTGGAATCCAGAAGTGGAAGCTCTTTATATGATTCCGCCACACAAACAGGGGTCATTAACATGGGTTGTTCTGGGCTGACGTGGCAACCATTTTAAAAAAATAAAAAATAAAAAACCAAAACCATCAATTCAAGACCCATTCCATTTCAATTTCTCCCAAATCAAACACCGCACACTCCATCTTCACCCAAATTGAAACCCGCACCGACGAAAACCCTCTCCATGCCTTACCATCTTCGACCGCACATCAGTCAAAGGTAACGCCGCCGATACAGTGGCAATTCTTTCGAAGATTGTCCCGCCTCATAGTTCACCATCTCTGTCCAAGGTTTGTTTGTGCAACAAGAAACGTTAATCGAAGTTGTAATACGTCAATCGAAGTTTGTTTGTCCCACATTTTTTTTTTTGGTGAATTCATAAATAGAACTATGAATATCTATGTGAAGAATTCCAGGATATATTATATTATTATTCTATGTTGTGTACAATGAACGCGGTAATTACTATAATTTTAAGAGTTTAATTACTATAGTTTTAAGAGTTGAAATGTAAGGATTACAATGCAGTATATTCTAGTCCATTTGATAATTTGTCTAATAAGTATGATGGTTTTTCTGCATTCTTCAGTCCGCAAAATTTAGAGAGAACAATGTAAAATTATGCAGCAACTAATTCATTGAAATTCTGACACCATTTTCATACATTGTAATGTTTGCTTTCATAATCTTCAAATCCAAGAACAATGTAATAGACAAAAGTAGTCCAAGAACAGCCTATTGGACGGTATTGGATATTATTAACCTTGTATGGTGTACAAAAAATGAGTTTAAGATAGTGGGATTAATGAGACACTGACTAGATTTGGAAAATGTTTTATTGTATACACATCTCTATAAGTTCATCAATATCGAATTCACGCATTTCCATTAGCTTCTCAAGTATTAGTCTTGTTTATGTATTCTTGACTATTGGTTTGGTTGCTTGAATTGTTACAATGAATTTGCAAGGCAAAAGGGAGCACGGAAAGGAATGCTAAAGGGAAGGAGTCGGCCTAATTAGTACATATTAATCGAAGGACTAGTTATTACATAAACTTTTGTATATGTGGTATTATTATGTGCGAATGTATGTGAACTATGGTTGTAAACATATGTGAATCTATAATGTGTTGGAAGTTGCACTCTTGTTTGTAACGTCGATTTTTACTTGTAATGAACTGATGGGTTTATGTACCTTTTTCCAGTTGGAAGCTAAACTCCAAACCCGTGTTAAATACATGCTCACAATTTTTGGGCTGGTACTATTCCAAGGTCTTCAATGTAGATTTAAATTTCCCCTCAAGATGTCCAGGAACAGTAGGAAGTTCAGTATCTTCGAGTGTTAAATGTTTATAAAGCTGTGTTTAGTTAATAAACACAAAATTAGGTCCGCCGTCAGTTACAGAAAAAGGAAAAGAACCTTAACAATTACTATTGTTTAGAGCACCATAAAATTGAAATCCCAAATAATGGAGAATTACTTTGGACAAGAATCAAAATTTCATAATGAACGATTACAAGGTGAAATTAAACTCACCACCTACTTCTGTATATAAAAGAACCAAAGGGGGCGATAGTGGACCAAGAAACTCATTTATAATAGCTACAAATGGAGACCAATCGAATGGACCATAAGGAATGGGTTCACGTAAATGGATTTTGATTTGGAAAGAATCGAACTCACATGTTGGGGATGTTTCGTTGCTGTCGAGATGGGAGAAGAATCGAAACTCGCCTGTCGGGGATGTGGCATTTTCGGGATGGGATTTGAACCGAAACTCACCAACTACCAGGATTTGTCTTACACAATTTGGGAAAGGTCGACGTTTTCTTTGAATCGTTTATCTAGGGGGGTGTATTTAATCGAGACTTTTAAAGACTTTTAGAGATTTAAAAAGTTTGGGTGTATTCAATTGAAACTTTTAGAAACTCTCTAAAAGTTTGGGTGTATTCAATAGAGACTTTTATAGACTTTTAAAAAGTCTCCAGAAGTTACGGGGTATTCAATTGAAACTTTTTTGAAGTCTCTACAAATTTTGGGGTATTCAATTTAGAGGGACTTTCAGGGAATTTAAAATTTTTTGGGCTTTCAGAGGCTTTTTAATAGAAAATATAAATAGGATTTTTCTCCCAAAATCTCTCATCCATAGAGAGATTTCTAAAAAGAGTATGCTATTCTTATTTCCCTATAGGTTTTTCCTCTATCTCTTCCAATTATGTATTTCTTTGAATCTTTGCTATGAGTTTTCTTCAAATCAGGTTATGGTAAATTTTCACTAGTTGATCTCTATCTCTCCCTCTAATTTCAAAGATTCGTTTTTAAGTGAATGTTGTGAATTCTCATAAATATTCCTCGATATCTCACATTTAACACTGTGAAAAGCATATTTCCTTAAAAAAAAAAAAAATCCTCAAAAGTTTTTAGTAAAAGTCTCCACAAATCCAGGAAAAATTTTTACTAATTCCCACCAAATCCATAAAAATTACTTAAAATTTCACAAAGTCCACAAAAGTCATCCACTTAAAAAAGTCTCCAAAAGTTTTTAAAAATCCCAATTGAATACACCCCCTTAAAGTTATTTTAATATTTCTCCCTTGAATATACATGCCAGTTTCCTTCATTTTAATTCTCAGTGACACGTGGGCCAATTTAAAACCCTGTCAAAAAGAGTTGTCATTGACCTTGTCCAACAAGCATTTCTTTATAACAATGAGACGTATCTATTAACAATAATGCTTCTTGCACAGATTCAATGACACACAGGAAACGAGGACTCGAAATTTCTGATGTGGCAAAAGAAAATGGATGGAACACTAAGGTAGCGGTTGGTTTGCATTTTCATTTTTCATTTTTCATTTTTCATTTTCATTTTTAAAATGATTTTTAGTTTTTCCCGAAAACGGTTTGTTTTCTGCGTTTTGAGCATTTTGGCAATTTATAACTGAAAATGCTCAAAATAATAAAAAGTCGTTTTGCGTTTTCAATTATAAATTTTAACTCGTTTTCGAAAATGTGTTTTCAAAAAAGACGGACCAAACACGTTTTCTACGTTTTCGAAAACAGAAAAAGGAAAATGGCTCGAAAACGGCAAACCAACTGCACCCTAAACCTAGGCCGTGGGCAAACCCTAAGGATATTGCGCTATAAGACAAGAAGACTATGGTTGCTCTAAAAAGCTACCGAAGATTCATGAGAGCCAGCAAAGCTTCGGCTTACAAATTTCGCTGGCACACTAAAATGCTTCTCACATAGCTTTTCCTCATATGTTAGAACCCGTAAATTCGGTGATAATTTCCCGGAAAAGATGTCACTCCTGTGATAAACCCGAAGCCGAAGCCATGCTTATGTATCTCCGCCAAATTTTTGATGATTTGACAACTATCAACAGTACTTTCCTCTTTTTGTGAAGCATAACTTAACATTTTTGAAGACGACTGTTTGTGAAGCATAAATCAATCTCCGTCCATTTGTGAAGCGCTTTCCTCTATTTGTGAAGCATAAATTCATCGCCGTGCCCAGTTTAGTAAGCTTCTCTCTTCGAGTTCTCGAAGCTTGTAAAATTTATTTGTAATGTTAAATTCCTTCAAGCTTTTAATGAGGGTTATGGTAATTGAGATAATGGTATATCGTAGTTA